GCAGTCTCTGAATCTGCTTCTCTTCCTTCCTCACTCATCTCTCACTCACAAAAATAAGCCCATTCAGGGCAAAGCCCAATACAGTGTAAAGGAATTTCAAAATTTGGCAAGTAAATGAACGTGCTCTGTGGACAAAAATTTGTTCCTTTATTTTCCTCAAGCTTCTGACTGGTATTTCTCATCACAGCTGAGGCAGCTTTTATTTTCCTGGATCCCAGCTACTCTGGGAATTCCAGCGAGACGTGTTAGTTGAGAGGAAGTCAACCTTTGATTTCTGTCTCTGAACAGGCAAAGTATGTTTTTATCTCTGGTGAAGCTGGTTTACTCCATAATACTAGGTCTAGCCCACTGAAAACTCTAACTACTTTTCCCCTGCACTGACAGTTGGTGACACTAGAGTCTGAAACAGTAGAATAGGCTGAAGCAGAGTTATTTGATACTACCTAAAAATGTGGTAAGTACAGCTACTAAGAAAACTTTTTTTTTTAAAAAATATCTGTTTTGGAGGATGCCTGTTCAAAAGAGGTATCTGTTATGTACCAGGTCTTTGATGGACATCACTCCTTATTTAGCCTCCTCAGCTGCAACTAAATGCAAAGGTTTTCATTAAGGTGTGCAATAAACACGTCTTATTAATTGATTGAGACATTTGTCTGTAAATACTTGTTCCCACCTACTATCCTCTATATCATTCCATTTTCAAATGAAGATTTCAAAACAAACCATATCTTCAAATGTTACAGGAACACTCCCTGAAAAACCAAGGGTCCCTGATGACATAAATCATCCTCTGCAGCTTGTAGGGACAAAGCACCACCATGGTGTGATAGTTCTCAAACACATGGCCAATATGGATTACGGTTTGTGGGTTTTATCCCCAGCAAATATGCATGAAAACAAACCTATATCAAACCAACAGCAGTTAAAAGTACAGTGGAATTGCTGTTACAGGCAGTTGGGAGGGAGAGTCCTAAAATCAAAGTAGAAATTAGGATCACAAACACCAAATAGAAAGCTGAGTAAAAACATCCTCGGTCCTGGCTAAACCACATGCTAGAATAGCAATTGCCTTTGTCAGTCTTTATTGCTTATCTCCAAAGCTTTCATTTCACATCACCAAGAATTTTCTAAACCAATGCAAAAAGACAAATTACACACCTACCATCACCATTTCGATAGCCCAGAAGCACTGCAGGATAATTAACAGTTCTTCAGTTCTGGCAAAAGAAGTAGAACACACTTCATAGGACAGGGACAGCTAGGTGAAGCAATCTGCTGCTGAAGCCAAGTCTCTCCGAACACGACAACAACTGAGAATGCTACTTGAGCCTCTCAGATGCAACATCATCCACATGTACCACAGAGAGAAAAAACAGGCCTTAAAGAACTAATATGGAAAGAAAAACTAAAATAAAGAGGTAAAAATGTACAGAGCGAAAATTCTGTAACCCACTCAGAATATCACATCATCCAGACCTAAGCTTCACAGTTTAGAGACTACCCTGTGGTCAGCCGGTTCCCTTGCTTTTCTGATCACTTAGTATTTCTGAAGTCTCCTTTTCTAGCCCGTAGCAACTGCCAGGCACCATTCCTAGGACAGATCAATATGTTCGCTTTCCTCCACACCCCTTCCTCTGAAATTCCTGGTCTGCCTCACTACAGAAGGCAGATTACTCAGTGAAACAGGTCACTAATCGGCCAAGAAAGGGAAATAAATAAGAAATAAGCAACCTAACTACCAAAAGACAGTCCAGCATTGGTACCTGTAGCTCAGATAGCAAAAGTTAAGATGGGTAACTCTGAGGGAATGTGTCAAAACAGTGGCAAATGCAGGAAGAAGAGGAGGAGGATCTTGCTGCAGGACTGGAGAACAGGAAACTCTGCCTATTTCCCCATAGACTGAACAGAGTTTTGCAAATACTTGTGAGACTGCTGGTCGCTGATGGACCCACTTAGATAATCACCCAGCAGTGAAGTAACACACAAAATCATGAAAGTTCAAGGCAGAAAGATTAGTAATTTTGGAGTAAAACGTCCAACAAAAGCTCACAAACTGACTCTTGCTAAGCACATTTCATCTTTGCTTTCCCTCAGTTCTTGCAGTAAGTACAGAACACAGAGTACCCATATCCATTTAGCATTTGTTCTGTTTAACAAGGCTTGACAACTCTGGATTACTGGAGATAACCAAGAAAAAGCAGCTTTCCCGAGATACCGTATGAAATGCTTGTGTAACAGCCAAGGGAGAATGCAGCTACAGCAGTGCTATTCCAAAGTATTTCCAACAGAACCATGCACATTTACCGCAGCAGTACCATGCACAAGCCAGCTAACTCAGCCTGATCATTTAATTTGGGGGTGATTTAGGCAATGAATCAGCTGATTTTACAAGGTTTGGTTTGAGAAAGAGGGAGTAATACAGTTTTGTTTCTTCACTTAAGTGAGAGAAGGAATGGAAAGCTATCCATAGGCCAAACACCCTTGCTAGGTTCACTTTAGGGGCTCTCAGCTGACACGTCAAAACCAACATCATGAGGTGTCACCATTTAGAGTAAAAAATTTCAGGCAGATATTTTTCTCCACAGTTCTTGTCTAAAGCACGATTTTTAAAGCAATTTTATTCTGCATCATGTGACTTCCCAGGCAGGCTTGCCTATCAAACACGCTGCTATTTGAGTACTTCTTACTTTCTGTACAGCCAAAAAACTGTACTTGTGGACTCACGCAGATCATATACAAAAATACATAAAGTCAAGGTGTGAAGATACAGGGGCCCAACAGATGAACATCTGCTCTAAAAATCTCAATCAAAGAGATACCAGATTAACGTTGATTCACATGGATTTTCCCCCAAAGATCAGAAAGCATCTTTTTTAGCCAGAACGTGTTTTAGAATATCTGTGAGAAGTTCCAACAAATCTGAAAGTTTACTTGAATTTTTCAAAGCCTAAGTCACAGAAACTAACAAGGCAAGTAGTAAACACCTTCCTATACGTAAGCCTATGTACACACAGAAGACTGCTCAGTGGGAAACAAATCACACTTGTTGGCCTTAGCATACACGTGTGCCAGAGATGCCATCTTTATTCTGGAAAACCTCTACTCATTCTAGCTCAATGCTGGATGTCTCTGTGGAGACGAAAGCTGTATTTTCTAAGCCTAAGACTGGAACAAACCTGGAGGAACAGCAGTGAACAGTTACAGGACAAAGAGCAAGAGATTTAGTTCATGTTTGGCTAGATACATACAGATTGAATTTGGGTTCATAAGTGTTGTTTAAATTACAACCACACCTCTCAAAGGAACTTGATTGTAACCATCCCTAAAAGTTACTGTCTAGGAAACATCCATACACCCCAGGAACGAAGACCATAAAAAGCAGCAATTATGCAATATCAACTTGTCACTCTTGGCTTGCACAACAATACCGCAGCAGCTTTGTTTGAATACTCTGCCAGCTTTACAGAAAAGCTTTTAGCATACTTAAATTCTGCCAGGGGACACCCCCATTTGTAGGAGGAGGCATCCCCAGTCACATCTGGAGGATGACAGGTACCTTATCTCTGCTCGGTACCTGGAACACACACACAGATCTCTGCTTACGTCGACACTTACCAGCCATATCTTGTAGCAGTGTCTTGATAGCTGCTGGTTAATCATTGTACAATGCAAAATCAATTTCTGCTACAAACTAATTTCTTGTGATTTTAAAGAAAACGTGAATAAGCTTACTGAAATACAAGGGCTGTGAACAAAACCAATGGAAGCAGAGACCAAAACAGAAAATAGTGCCTGAAGCAAGCACTGGATGGCTAGAAAGCAGAAACAATTTGAAAGGAACAAAGTGTTCCCCCATCCTAAAAGTTCCTAAACTGAATCCATCCAATCTAGGGATGGAATCAGTGACCAATGATTCCATGAGAATGCCAAGACTTCAGCTGCAACCTCATAGCACATTGAGAGGACAGGACAGCAAACTACGCAGAACAGAGCTACTGCTTCATCTCCAGAATTACAGTGAATTTGTAACAACAAACAACTGCAAAGAAAATTGTTCTTTCATGGGATCTGCTATCCAGCCTTCTAAACCAGACAGAATAAGTTTTAACCTAGCAACAGGATTCAGAGACAGGGGTATCAGAAATCCAGCTTTCCACACAGTCTGGGGAAAAAAACACCCCACCAAAACATTACCTTCCTGCATTCTTTGGAAAAAGGTGAAGTCAGCTTTTCTCATAGGAGATACAAATATATGATTTACTAGAATGCAGACACCAAAGAGCAAAAGAATAATGCATTTAATCTTCAGGGAATTGAAGTGTAAGGTCTTTGCCTGTTCAAAAAAAGAAAGACACAAACCAAAAAAACCCCACACCCAAAAAGCTACAAATCTGCCTTGAATTCTCACTGTACTAAGTATTTGCTACAGTGTATTTTTAAAACTGCACTGAGGAGCACTTACTGCAGTTCTTCACTCTTTTGTGAAGTTGCTACAGATCAAATGGCTGATCCAAGAAGAAAAACAAACATATACCGCTGCAAACCTACAGCTTTCTTTAAAATCCCTATATTTTGCTGTGTAGAAGTACTGTGCAGCTTCACGGCATTAGTCACAAGTTGTGCCTCATTCAGAAAATGGTGACAAGTTATACCCAAATAAAAGACTCTGAATTGAAAAAGAGGGAAACCTCAAACACTGTCTCTACTGGGTGTCACACTATTTAAAAAATCCAAGCAGAACAAACAGCAAAGTTTCTGATTAAGATGGAAACACTTAGGGAAATGAGTAATTAAACTACAAATTATCATGTCAGTTTACAGTTCACACCGTTACTACTCACACAGGTTCTGCAGTGATGGGCTTACTTTACACTGGCCGTAAAGTGATCTACTTCACATCAGGCGAGACCAACTGGGTAATAAACAATCATCCGTGGCCTCTCACATGCAGATGGCTAACAGCTACTCCTGAGCAGCCAGGTTAATGCTATAGTTCTCACCTGATCTTCTTCTTCATCCTCTTCATCTTCTGCCAAACGCTGCCTGCCCACTTCATACAGCCTGCAAACTGTATCCATGTTCATGGCATCCATGCTCCCTTGATTCTGAAGAGGAGATGCCCACACAGCAGTCAGCCCCAGGAATTCAGCTCAGCATTCATACTCAATGTTACATCTGATCTCAGTTACAGAAACATTACCAAATCCTTCCCTCTCGTTTACTAGCAGCAGTACAATCAATACTAAACACAAGTCTCTTTGGTTTCAAGGCCCGGCCCAGGAGTGATGTAAATGTCTACTTTCTGCTTCTGTCATCCACAAGTTACTCTTACTAGTAGATGTAAAAAAAGCTTTAATGGACCCTTAATGTGCTTTGGGTTCCACACACCTCTTCCTTTCAACTTTGCCTCCCTATCATACCGCTGAACCACATGGCTCGAGAGCGCTGAAAGCGGTCACGCAGGGAGAGTTGCTGAAGACAGCAGTCTGACACCCCGGCAACCACTGCTGCCACACGCCCTGGAGTAACGTTTCCAATTACTCCTGTAAAAGAAAATTCTCCTATCTTGGCCTTACAGCCTTGTCAACTCCAACCTCAGTAGTTAAACATGAAGCTTGCCCTACTACAAATTCCTGACTTGGTTTTTTGGGTCTGTAAGGATCAGTGGCTCACAGAGTATTAGTCACTACACATGCCTAGTCAGGCTCAAGGAACTGGGTACTGACAACATAATTTTGGGCAAAGAGCCAGACCTGTTTGTTAGATTTTACTTCCCCCCCTAACAAACCCAAAGTTGTGCTCAGTAACTTTTGCTTCAATTCCTTAGCTTCTGGGATTTTGCCAGGAAGACAAAAAAGGAACAGTACGAGTGATGCACAGAAAAGCTCTAGGAAGATTGTATTTCCCAGTTACTCAATACAGTGCAAAATTTAATAGAAAGTTATTGCTATAAATAGGAAAAATTGCATTTCTCTGTGCTTACGAGAAGGAAAACCTCTGCACATTTTAAAGGGGGAAGTGTTTGAAGATAACAGACAAACTTGTTTGGAAGTTTTAAGGAACCAGTGGCAGAAAAACAAGACTGCTGTGTGTGTGGACAACAAAAAACTAACATCATCTTCACTATCACCAAAACACCACCACTGCTTAGAACATGAATTTAAAAGTAAGAACTCCAGAATCATCAGTTCTGAAGGTTTTAAAATGAAACAGCAAGCACTGCACTCAAACCACAGCTACAGAGACAGGAGTTTATTATTCGGTGCTTTACCTCAATGACAGCCAGATAGCAGTCCTTGCTGTCTGTGCACAAGTCAAAGATATTCCGCTTTACATCTATGGTAGCTGGAAAACATCACAAAACAAACTCAGTGGTTAATCACGTATTACTTTATGCTCACTGAAAGAAAAACATCTAACTATATGCCTAAAAGCAGATGATACAGTGTCAGGACAAGAAACAACAGCTGAAATAAAAGCAAAAGGAACATTCATAACTAATTCAACCTGTCATAAAGAACAGAAATGTTGGAGACTGTAATAAAAAATAGCCAGGTAGGTTCTTAACCCGCTCTGCACAGTGCCTCATCCCTTGGTAATACATTCCTTGGCTTCTCCGAGCACACTAAACAACAGCGAGTCTTCCAGGATAGGTGGCAACCAAGGGACTGAGTTGTGAGCCATGTCTCCTTTCAGTAGGAAAAGCTGCACTTGTTTATGTCCATAGCAGCAATTAGCTTTGCTTCGGGAGCTTAGCTAGCTGGAGGACAAACTGACAGCATTCTGAACTACCAGTGTGGGGAATGGTGCTGGGAAGAGGAAAAAAGTGGGGGAGAGGGAAGGCCCTTCCTGAAATGAGACCAATGACACCTGGGCCCAGTGACCTACTATCTCAGATTATGCTCTGCTTGGAAAGGGGAAAGGAAAATAAAGCCAGAACCGCCGTGCGGCAGCAAGTAAGGCAATCACACTGAACAGGATGTGATACTTGAGCCTGTTTCAGTGTTAAACCCAACTCTCCTGCTTCCATCAGAACAAGTCGTAGCAGAATTTGTGTTGTCACATGCACAAAGAAGAGGAGGAAGTGAGTGTTACTAAGCAGAACTTTCAGTAAACCTTCACACCTCCAGACCAAGCTATTTGCTCCTCTCTTACCTATAGGTTTATAATCAGTTGCATTAAATGTCCTGAAAGAAGAGCCAAAGGGACTCCTCATTCTCTCCTCCAGAAGGTCATCTTCATCATCTGCCTGCAACATAGCTGATACAAGGAAAGATTATTCCACAAATCCACTTTCCATTCGTCACTATTATTAATCAACTTAAGATCAAATCAGACTGACATTAATTTTCTTTTTATTTAATAGCTTGGCAAGACCCAGTTAGATTAATACCTGCTCTTCCAGAGCTGCCTTCATTACTACTACAGATCTGAAGATTGCAACTTACTACAGAGGACAAAATCATCTTCTGAAGCATCATTAAATCTGCCATTATACACATTTCCTTTTTCAACAGTTTGATTTTTAATCTCATAAATGAGTTGTGATACTGCTGACATTAGAGAAAACTGTCTTTGTCAGCAATACGTGTAGTGCAAACATCCGGAAAAAATTCCAGTTGACATGTGGCAGTAAAGCCTGGAGTTAGACAGGCCCTCTCACGCTTCCACTTTCACCGAACGAGCATTTGCTTATCTCAAACCAGAGGTGACCAAGGAGAGTAACGTAAGCCTGAGAAGCCCTACCTCCATACATAACTGTGCCAGTATAGTTGAAGACCACACGACACTGATCCAGTGCAGGTACAGTGTGTAACAAATGGAAAGTTCGGAGGTCCCACTTGAAAGATACAGGATAAGGAGTAACAAACAATTGAAAGTTTCTATTTCCTTTCCACACAGTGGCAAACAGCTGATTAATTGCATTCAAGAAATCTCATTGCCACCCTCTTGCAAACATGACAGAGCCGGACTCAGATTCCAGCATGACAATCCCTTCCATGTGCTCAAAATGAGAAAGCTCTTACTCAAAATGTCATTCCCAGTCATGAGACATTATTGCAGTAGCTTCAAGGTTGATCTTGGATGGGAAGAGAGCAGAGGTCCCACAGCATATGTTAGAAAAGGAAATATCTTTTGCTCTCTCTCTCTGTTAAATATTTCCACTAGGCCATACTAGAAGCAGAATCCAGATTTAAATTAGCTAGTTGTCTGACAGTCCCTACTTAACTCATCGATGGAAACTGTTGTTACCGTACGTAACATGTAACACAGCAGACCACTAATACAGTTTCTGCAAACCGCTACTTGCTTATCACTACGAATGCTTCAGGTACCAGCAGATCAGCTACCACAGTGGCCAAAGGATACAATTTCTGTGTTGACTATGACCTCCAGCCCATTGGGATGGAAAACACCACTGATGGTCATGTTGAATTTGTCAAACTTGTGGATGGCTTGTGCCGATCTGACATCCCAGAGGACACCATCATTTAGGACAAGGTCATCAGTGGGGTTAAAGGTGGCACAGTTCTTCTTGTAGTTGTTGGCAAGATCTGGGTTAAACAGAGTCAATAGCTTGTTGCCAGTCTGAATATCATAGATCTTTTAGATTAAAAAGAAAAAGAAAGATTAGTCACAATTTGTAACGCACCTACAGATCACCCCGAGTTTCCCCTTCGTTTCCAGATCACCCCATTTCCCATTTTGCCTTTGCATTTCAAATGAGACCATTCTGAAGATAACCCTTCCTGACAGTCCTTTAATAGTTTTTCACAGCTGGAACCAAGTCCCAAAACACATTTTGGCCAGTGCTTTAGCTTAGTGTAGGTTTACCGATACATTTCAGTACGATGAGGATTAGCCCCAAAGAAACTAAGCCCATCAGGAAAAGTGGGCTGTGAAGCTGCAGTCACAAAGTACCACTTAGCCAGAAACTCCTTCTGAAATGGAACTGCTTTCAGAGCAGATGGTATTTACAAACAAACACTCTGAGACACACAGTGACAGGAAAAAATAAACCCAAACCAAACTGAAACTGTAGAAAAGGAGATAAAATCCCCTGCATTGACACAGAAGGGCAACTTTCTGAGCTTTGTCCCAACAAACTGTTGGAAGATAAAGAGGGTTTTAACAAATACACAGTGTTTATGACCATCTTCTCAGATAAATTTGATCTGCAGTGTCCCTCAGAGCATAGCTCTCGTTCAAACTCAGAGAGGAAAAAATTCTCTAGTATTGGAAAACAACTCTGTTTACCACATAAACGCAATACACAAACTGATCTGACCTTCCAGATAAACCCAAGTTAAAAGCTGGGCAGGAATGGATAGTTTGTTTAAACAAATCAAGAGCAATAAATAAAATCATGAATTATTTGAATAAGTTATCTTTCATAACAAAGTTCTCATACAAATACTCTTCCAGAAGAGACAGTGTCGCTAATGAACGCAAATTAGCCCTGCGAAGCAGCAGAAGCACTCTGAAGCCTGCACCTGTCAAATTTGCAGGTATTCAGACAAAACACTACAACAGCGTTCTCTGAAAATATATTGGTCAAATTAAATGACCCAAAAGCAAACTACAGATTCGGGGTGGCAAAAGGAGGACACTTTCAATAGGCCATTTCCTACAGATGTTGGCTGAGCTACTGTTTCAGTGGAACTTTTATGATTACTAAAAAAAGGCAGCACAGAAGCCAACTTCGGGGCGGAGGAGGGAGGAGCAAAAAGTCCTGCACGACCTCTCTCAAATGAAGAAAACAAAACAGATTCTAGTTGCCCAGAACACTAACCACAGCGGCAACACACTGTACACTGCGTGGGCTACAGCTGGTTGCAATGGTCACATTTATGCCCTCAGACACAAGCAGACATTATTGGACACTTTCAGAGCTTTCCTCTAAAGCCTCAGCAGTCACACAAAACCTCACAGCACCCCGATCTGCTAGGAAGTGTCCTGTGAGGAATTACACTCTTCTAACACCTCTGCAACCAAGACCTTCCCTGGTACTTACATGAGCAATGTCTCCTTTTGTGCCAATGACCCTATCCTGCGAGTGCTTGCTGAACTCCACGTAGTGGTCGTCAGGGAAGGAATGCCTGTAGATAGAGTCAGGGCAGAAGTCAAGGAACTGCAGATTCAAACCCCAGCAGAGGCATCAGCAATGTTAAAAAAAAAAAAAACAAACAATACACATAGAAAGTTCTCCCTTCACCACTGACCATAGCACACGACAACGCTGAAATGCTCCACTGGCATTTGCAGGACAACATCTGTCAGTGTCTTAGCAGCAGACTAGTGAAAAAACCCACAAGCAACAAATTCACAGACGTGTCATCAAATTACTACTGCATCAGGGTCTGCCACACACAGAACTCTAGAGTAGGGAGCAATGAATGGCATTGTGAACATTCAAACACACAGGCAGGCCTGGGGCACATTAAGCTTTTTATCTGAGGAATGCCCTCTAGCTGACCTAAAACAAGTCACAGGGAAACTGTTAATTACAACTAAGGCAGACAACAGTCAAACCTTTTAAAAATAAGCCTTCTACCTATTTTTTTCTGTGAAAGAACAATTGTAAACACTGAAATCAATTTTAAATAGCTGTATCAAGGTCTGAAAATTTCACCAGCAAATCACCAATCTAGTAAAATTCTGTAGCTGGCTATAGGAAGATCGTCAAGATAATTTACAAACATGACAGTACAAACACAAACCTATTTCTTTGCCTTCAGGAATAACAGTGATTTTACTGATATATCTTGCATTAAACAGGATGTTAGGTAGTTAGACTTCAGCAAAGCTATCTATACCCAATGACACGGGAAGATAATAAACATAAGAAAGAGAACACATTGTACACACTGTGCTGTACTGTGCTTCCACAGAGTTTGTTTTTAGGGTTTCTGCCTACATCAAACGGTTTGTCTAACTGCAACCTACCCCACAGCTGGATCAGAGTATACCTACTTCATATCAAAGACAGACTTCATTCCCCACAACGCAGACAGAGGTTGGCTCCACGTGGCAGATGTCAGCAATAAAGATCCATCCTGTATTTCCGGATGGGAGTGAAGGGGGAGGAAGGGGAAAGAATACCAGGGAAAACAGAGGTTATCATTCTACCTGTACACTTTAACTTATGCTTACAAGATTGATTTAAAAATTATAGCAGGTTTTGTGCTTACTGAACTCAAGTCTAGTTATCTAATCCTATGTATAATACAAAAAGCCCTTGAGAGACAAATGTTACAGATAACAATGGGAACCATCTACAATGTTAGTAGCAGGTAAAATCAGGATAATCCATGCCTGAACTTCGATGCCTTGCGAGTCAAGTTTATTCAGTTTATAAATCAGTTACCCTTTATGTCTTCCTGGAATCACCCTCCAAAAGATTTATTTCTCCAACAAAGGGAGGTTATATAAACTCTGGTATCTAAAATACATAGTTAAAGCATTTTTCCACTTGCAGACATACATATTCATTACTTATGAAGGCACACAGCCACCGTGCATCTTCTCTATTATCTTGCGAATAAAAAAACTGTAGAACTCACAGAAAGGGAGTATGTAACTACAAGTACTTTAATGACAGGCACTGCAGACCAGCCAGTAGGTGAATGTTACATTTACATAACCAGATGGACGGAAAACATATCAGGGCTTAGGCTGTGGGAACCTCCAAAACTCATGTCTTCGATTACTTACCCTGGATGGCTCAAGGTGCGTGATGGCAGAGTTATGGCAGTTGTAACTGGCCTCTTCCTGTCCACTGAACACATTGTAGAGCTTCAGCTGCCCCGTGCAAGTACCCAGCATTAAGAATCTTTCTCTTGCAGAAAACGCGCAACAGGTAAAGCCACTCTCATCCTCATTTGCTTCCCTGAACACAGAAATCGGACGGAACCTAGAAAGGGCAAAAACACGAGGGTCCCCCAAAAGACAGAAGAAAAGCAAAACTGAAATGCTGTGTGATGATACCAAATCCAGTCCTTAAAAATCACATAGGTAAAAGTTACAGCTTTCTTCTAGGAGAAGCTAAGTGCCAGTTATAAGACTATTGCTCAAATGAGTATGTTACAACAGCGACTGCAACACTGCAGGGTTTGTTTTGCACTGTTAAGTACTTCTGTTACAGCACATCATTAAGTTGAAGCACTTGGAGTCCGCCTTCAAAGCTGGATTGATGGAAAAGCTGTAATGCTGTCATCTGGGTAAGTACAGACAGCTAGCAAAATTTTCTAACAGTCTGAAACACTCAACACAACAAAGCAGGGCACATCAGCCGAATAACCTCCTGTCATCATAAATACCCCCTAAGGTGATGCTAGTTTCACTGTGAAGATGCTTTCATCTCTGTGTCATCTTTATTTTTATAAACTTTACATCATCTTCCAATTTAACCTCAGCAAAGAAAGGCCACACAAAAATGCTAGCAACTCGCAGTCCTGCAGATTCAGCTGCAAGAGCAAAACCATGGATTCTGCTGTCCTCAACTGTCAGCCAACCAGCCTCCAGCCTCAGGGCTATGCTACACTTCCATATAAAACTGGCATCACATACTTACCTTCCAAAGGAGAACAAAGCCAGGAGCTTCATTAGTCAATACTGCTAATGAATTAACATGATACTGAAAACAAAGTGTGCTTTAGGTACTAAGAGACAGTACTAAGGACAAAAGAAACAGAACATTTACTAAAATGCCTTTCAAAGTTCTCCCACTCGTCACTGTGGGATTAAAACACCTCTCTGCCCACAGATACTCCACTGTGGGATGGCACAGCCTGCATTCAGGTAAGGCTTTTTGGCACAGGTACATATCCTGAAAGGGATCAAGAAACATTTTTCTTCCTTACCTGCTAAATATAAGGTGTCTATCAAAGCAGCCACCATCCACCCCTCCGTACTTTGGAAAGGCTGCCCTGCGGGTCAGCCGTGAGGTAAAGTTAGTTGGCGCTTGGCGCCTTTGTTTTGGCTCAGGACACTGGTGGGGAGTAAAGAGAGAGAAAGGGGGACAGGTGGCAACTGGGTTCTTGCAGCGGGCATGCTGCTCCCTAAGGTACTCTGTGATTATACTGTCCAGTGTTGGGGGGGAAGGAAGGTGTCTGTCCAGCTGCTTTTTGATAGCTGGGCTCTGGCTGTAGGCGCCATGGTCCGATTTTTGCCGCAACACTCTGATTTTTCTGCCGTTGCAGGGAGATGGCCTCTCCCTGACAAAGCTAATCCTGCCAATCAGAGGAGAGTTGCTGGCGTAAGAAGGGCCTGGAAGGGCAAGTGGACCTTGGGATGCAGTCGGTCTTGCCTGAGCATGGACAGAGGTGGCAGTGGAACCTACGGAAGTGTGGCTACTCAACCGGGCTGAAATGCCGTTAGCTATGCGAGGGGTGCGAGGCAGGGTCACAGGAGAGGCTGCAGCTGCAACAGGGGTGAAGGCAGATGAATGAGATGCTGCAGTCATAGGTAGGTCTGCCTCTTTTGTAAGGACAGACGCAGTTTCTCCTAAGCCCTTAGAGATGAGATGGTTCCGAATCAGGAGCAGCAGCTCCTTCTCAGGAAACGTGATCCTTGACTGGGCCACCACATCCGCTTTCTGCAACCGAGCCAGAGAGACATCTGTGCCGATGAGCAGTGGCTTCCCCGAGACACGCTCGATCAGCTCAGCAGCGTATTTGCAGAACTTCACGTGCTCGCTGCGCTTGTCCTGAAGCACCGGCTCCTTCATCAGCTGCTGAATTTGACAGCTGCTGAAGAGGGGGAGCTTGCTGATAATCTGCCGGACAGTACTGCTGCGTGAGAGCCCCACCAAGGCTTTGCAGGCTAACGCTCGGATCTGATCTGCATCCGTGATGGGCATCTTTACAGACAGCAACGACAGCAGCACTTTGATGCCATTGTTGGACTGTACCACATTCCACATCTTGGCTAATGTGTGCTCACTGCTCTTGGGGGCCTGAGGAAGCTTTCGCCGAGGAGTTCCAGAGATGAACTTGCCAATACTGGAGATCCGATTATCTGGGCCACATACACAGTTGATGATGATCTGAAGGGCTGACTTCTGAATCTCAGCATCATGAATGAAAAATTCACCCTCAGCAACTCCAAGGATGATACTAATACCTAGTGAGGAAAAGAAACAGTTTCTTTAGTACTCTAAAATGCATCTTACACAGTTCATCAGACAAGTAAGGGAGTCTTCAACAAATTTGAGAAAAACAGGTAATTATTTTCATCCTGGGAATTCCTGAGTTCTACTGATCAGTGTAAGACATACTCTTCTACCTCCCTATCAAAATGTTTTTCTACACTGATGCTCCTCTACATCATCAGTAAGTAGCGAGTCAAACAATCTTTCAGAGAATGTGATCAAGCATGGCTCAGGAACACAGAATCCAAGATACCTGGCACAGGGAAAGATGTACAGGCATGTCTGATTCTTAGTGCAGAAAGCAATTCCTTTGTATAATCACAGAATTACAGAATGGTTT